GGGTTAGACAGTAGCCCTAAATTCTGACTGATGTTGATATTTCATCCAGAATCAGACTCTCTCTTCACATAGTTTTTTGCTTCTGTTTTGGTCAATAGATTCTTTGACACAACTCCCCTGGGCCTAATTCTAAATCGCTTCTCTGCTGATACGAATATCATTGACCAGGTGAGCACATCGGTCCATTTATTCCATAATGTCTTGCCCAATTAATGCCACCATTTTGGAGAAGAAATACACCTTTTGTTAACAGGGAGCCATATAGGTTGTCACTTTTATATACAGAACAAATGGTGTGGAAAAACTATGAACTGAAAAAGAGCTTCCAGGCAAAACACCTTTTATGGAGATTATTATCATTGAGCTCACCAAGACTCAAGTATAGTCAGGGATACAAAGATAGAGTTACTGGAAAACTCCCCTGGTTCTTTAGAATTACAGGTTCACATGTTAAGTATACTATATTAGGAAGGAGTTGTATTTAAGTAAATTAGGAACAAAAGAAATCCTAGCAATGATGTAGTTCCATTACTAGTTGGAGGTGGTAAAATTGTTAATAATGATGCAGAAAAGGAAGAAGTGTTCAGTCAGTACTTCTGTTCTGTATTTGGAAAGAAGGATTCATATCACATGAGGCTGATTAACTACTTTCCAGCCCACTGCTAACTAAACAACATATACTAGACATAAACATTTTACAATCTGCAGCCCCAAATAATTTGCACTCAAGAGTCCTAAAAGAGCTGGCTGAAGGGATTTCTAGTCTGATTATATTAATTTAAATAAATTTTGGAATACCAAGGGAATTCCAGAAGAATGGAATACTGCTAATTTTTTGCTAATATTCAAAAAGGGCTAGCAGCACGACTTGGGTAACTATAGGCTGGTTAGCCTGACATTAGTGTTGGACAAAATAATGGAAAAACTGATAGGGTTGACAAGCAGTGCTTAAATTCTCAGAGATTATTTCCTGGAGTTCTCCTCCCTCCCCAACCCCCCCGCCCTGATTCGGGGCTCCAGGCTTCAGCTGCAGGATGTCTAAGGTCTTTAGCCCCGCAAGGGGTGGGGTGCTGGGGCTCAGGGACTTCAGCCCCATGCTGGGAGGGAAGCGCCAGGGCTCGGGCTTCTGCCCTGAGGCAGGCACCAGGGTTTCCACAGGTTTGAAAATGTTTACCAGAGCTCCGCTCCAGTGGGCTCCGGCTGAATTTAAGCCCTGGATTCAAGTGATAAAGAATTAAAAGATAGGAATATAATTAATGCCACTTAATAAGGTTTGACGGAAAATAGTTCTTGTCTAGCAAAGCTGATTTCATTCTTTAATGTGATTAGAAGTTTGGTTTATAAAAGTAACTGCACAGATGCAATAGACTTTTGTAAGGCATTTGACTGAGTACTACACGACATTCTGCTTAAAGATTAGCACTACACAATATCTATAAAGTTCACATTAAATGTTTGAAGAACTGGTTAACTGACATCTCAAAAAGTAGCCATTGTTGGAGTACAGGTGCTGTAACTAGGGGTGCTGGGGGTGTTGCTGCACCCCTTGGTTTGAAGGGGTTTCCATTATATACAGGGTTTACAGTTTGGCTCAATGGCTCTCAGCATCCCCATGATACAAATTTTTCCAGCACCCCTGCAATGGGGAATCATCGCTGAATAGGGCTGGTTGTAGTGGGGTTCTACAGAGATTAATATGAGGCCCAACACTACTGACCATTTTCCTCAAGGATATAGAAGTAACTATAAAATCGATGATGATGAAATTTCAAATGACACAAAGATTGGCAGAGTGGTAAATAATGAGAACAGGGCAGTCACAGAGTGATTCTGGTCACTTGGTAAACTGGGCCCATTCAAACAATGCTTTTTAATACAAGAAATGCAAAGTTATATATCTAGGATCAAGGATTGCAGTCCCTGCCTGCAGAATGAGGAACTGTATCCTGTAAAGCAATGATTCTGGAAAGGATATAGAGGACTTAGTGGATAAGCAACTCAACGTGAGCTGCCAATGTGATTCTGTGGCAAAAACGGCTAATGCGATATTTGGATGCATAAATAGGGGAGAAGTGAGAAGGAAGGAGTGGGCAGGTGATTTTGCTTCTGTGTATGGCAATGGTGAGCAACACTGTAATACTAGCAGAGAAGGGCACAAAAAGAACCAAAGGCTGGAAGCTGAAGCCAGACAAATTCAAACGAGAGATTAGGCACAAGTTTTTAACAGTGAAGGTTATTAACTGTTGAAATAATCTAATAAGGAAAGTGATGGATTCTCCATCTCTTGGTGTTTCAAATCAAGACTGGATGCCTTCTGGAAGTTATGTGTTAGCCAAACTCAAATCATTGGGCTCAATACAGGGGTAACGATGAAATTTAATGGCCTGTGATATACAGAAGGTCAGACTAGACCAGGGGTCTCAAACTCAAATGACCATGAGGGCCACATGAGGACTAGTACATAGGCCCAAGGGCCGCATTACTGACACCTCCCCCCGCCGCCCTCGGCTCCACGCCTTCCATGAGGCCCCGTCCCTGCCCTGTCTCTTCCCACCCCTTCCCTGCCCCCATTTCAACCCCTTCCCCAAAATCCCCGCCCCAATTCTGCCCCCTCCCTGCCCCCAGGGGGTGCAGGAGGGGTGGTGGGGTGTGGCGGGGGGCTCAGGGTAGGGGGTTGGGGATGCGGGGTGTGGCAGTGGCTCAAGGCAGGGGGTTCGGTTGCAGGAGGGGTCGGGGGGCGGGCTCTGGCCCGGCGCGCACTGGGGGCAAGGCAGGCTCCCTGCCTGCCTACCCGCCCTGCCCCCGCGCCACTCCGGGAAGCGGCCAGAACATGGGGAAGGGGGGCACTGGCATCTGTGTGTTGCTCTTGTTTCAGGCACCATCCCCAGCAGCTACCATTGGCCGGAGCCACTCAAGGTAAACGCTGGGGGAGGGGGGCGGGCACAAGGAGCTCGTGGGCCACAGAAAATAACACCGCGGGCTGCGTGTTTGAGACCCCTGGACTAGACCTAATGGTACCTTCTGGCCTTAAACTCTATGAATCTATGTAAAGTTATAGTGTATAATAGTGAACTAAGCACAAATTTCAACAGAAGAGTTGTTTGCAACGCTTCCATTACTTCTGAGAACCAAGATGCTTGGATGATAGGTGATTGTGAATGCTTTATCTAGAGGCCTATGTACAAAGGAGAGTGATTGCAGGGCTCTCAGAACAGGACACCATATATGGGACAATAGGGAACTCGAGCACTGCTAAGTTATTTGAGATCTCACAGAGAAGATTCCCTTTCTTGTCTCATAATGAGGGGAAAAGACTGCCTGTTTCTCCTTGATCCTTGGAGATGCTGAGCATCAGCAAGTCCCAGTGGCCCTAATTCTGGCCTCCACTGAAGCCCCTGTACACTGGCTCTGGGCTTATAGAAACAGAAAAGCCCTTGGGGAGACTTAAAGGGGATTCCCAGTGGCGAAGGGCCAGCAGAATGACCATAGACCAGCCTGTCTCATCACCCCACGCATGGAGGGTATATAGTTGCCATATTCCTGAGGTGTATCTAATACATATTTTTATTTTATTTTTGGAATAGCACATTCCCCCTACTCTGGAGTCTCTCACCCGGTCCACTTTGCTCTGTCTGTCGGCTATCGGAATGATCTCGTATGCCACTCCGTGGTTCCTTGTTGCTCTTGTACCCCTTGGGGTAGCATTTTATTTCATCCAGAAATACTTCAGAGTGGCTTCCAAGTAGGTATTAGAAAGCTGCCATGTACATTTCTTTTAAAACCCCTGTATTTATGGTTTATCCTAGAATATAACTAGAACTAGTCAAGAACGGAAAATTTATTTAGTAAATTCCACTGATAATTTTTTCTGTTTTTCATTGAAATGTTTGAAATTTTTCAACCTGCGATAGAGATGACTGAAAAATGGAAAAACTTTCCACAGAAAACCTTGTCCACTTTTCAACAACATTTCAGAAAATGCTGACTGTCCCTAAAGATTATGCTTTTTGAGAATTTCTTAAAATTACACTTGCTTGGAGAATTGAATTGCTCAGGAGATAATAAAATGTGAAACTTTTTCACACTAGGGTCATTGCTTCAATTCTAGACTACGACCCCATTTTAGGAAAACATTCTTACTCAAGAAAACACTTTAATTTGAAGCATGTGCTTCGGTAGTTTCCCGAATCAGGGCTCAGGTGCTTGGTTGGTTGTCTTACTCTATTTCTTAGTGGCTAGATATCTGTCACAAAAACCATAATCACAGATTAGTTCCAACCCTTGATGTCAGTCATAGCAAAATGGCCAACGGCTGAACAGAAGTGAAGACTTAAACACGCTTCCATCCTCGGAGACGGTCACTTCAGTCAAGATTTATGCACCTCAGTGGGGCAGTGTAGGGGGAAGTTTGAACTGTCACTGTGCATACCGTACCTGTTCTGTTGATAATCACAGGCATTTCAGCTTGAGAGCTGGAACCGTCTCTTTCAATGGCAAAACACTCTGATTGACATAATTTAGAGCCAATAGCCCCCGCTAAAATTAGTGGAGCAGGACAGGGCCTCAAAATTATCCACAACAAAAACTGATAATAACTTTGATGAATTGTAACCTATTTTCTTCAGCTTTAGGCAGCACGTGAGTTTTCAAGGAGAGTTATCAATATGAAAATGTTGATAGCAAATGTTTGAATCAGGGTAAATTTATAATGATCTGTAATTCAAAAGCAATTTGATGAATTTCCATTACACACTGCAGAAACATTCTCCTTCCCCTACCAATTTTCCAAACCAAAGTTGTAAAGGACACTAAAATAGGTATTGTGGAGACAGTGTGGTCTAGAGGGTAGTGCACTTGACTGGGTGACAGGAGATCTGGCTTCCATTCCTAACTCACTGACCTGCTGTGTGAGTGTGAAGTAGTCTCTTGAGCTCTCTGTGCCCATTTTTCCCTTTGTCTGTTGTATCTTATTTAAACTCTTCAGAGCCAGGGCTGTCACTCACTGTGTGTTTGTACCAGGCCCCCATAATAATTTATAATGGAACTTGATTGCAACCTTAGCTACAGAGAGGCTACTGCTTTTCCTTGATATGCCCAGCCTCTTTAAAGATTCCAATACATTCAAATGGCATTCTTAACTAAGAATCACAAGCAAATTAGTGGTAATAGTGGTTTCAAATTAATATATAACATTGTAGTATAGAAAGATATGACTCGGCCATTCCTACCTCAAAAAAATAAAGCAATGGATTAAGTGGGATGGTGCATGTCCAATTCAAAGCTATGGTTTCTTCTCATAGTTTTATATAAGGGAGCAAAAGCACATGCTGGCCCAGATTTTCAATATTGAGTGCACCCAATTTTCCCACATGCACTACTGGTTCCTGTGCACAAGCGGGGGAGATGTTACACACACTATGTGCCCGAGTCTCTTGACCCACACGTATTCACTGGGCATTGCAGGTGCAGATGGTGGCATCCACGTAACTATACATTCTTTTTCGTGCACACTTCTGAAACTTTGGGTCAGCAAGAGACATTTTTTATTATATATTTTGAACTCCATTTAATCCCTAGTTGGAAGATCTGATTTCTTGTGCTTTACAATAGAAATGAGGCTGGAGGAATACTATTGTATCTATAAAAGTCATTCATGTGAAACAAACTGTGAAGGAATAGCTTGAGCGTGTATTCAAACAGCACTTGATCTCCATTAACTTTTAAGAACACAAATATTTATGGTATTTCCTGTAACACTTTCACCTCTTATAAAGTTTCCCACTACATTCCCCAAAAATTACTTTATATTTTCCATCATAAATTGGTCACACTGCAGCATATTTATCATCCAAATACAAGCATCAAATTCGCCTCTCCATGGAGTAACATTCAGTACCGAAGAGTAAGCTGTTGATAGATTATCTATCAAAATACACCAACACAGTAGAATTTTATTAAGGAGGGTAAATATCAAATGCTTTGACCCATAGTCTGTCCTTCCATACATGTGCTATTCCCAATTAAACTGGGAGTGTTATGTCTATCTGAGGACAAAATTTGTCCCTATGTTTGAGCAAACATTCTAGTTGCAAGAGATTGGATTTGTAGGCCTATATCCTCAAATGGATTATCTGAGTGGATTATTACTCAATGACTGATTGAGGAAATCTGACTGACTAATGAAGAGGGCATTAATTCTATAGAAATGCCCTATACATCCCAACTGAAATGACAGCATCAGAACTAGAACAAAAAGTCTATACTCCTGCATTGTTTTTCATGTTCAGTATATAGCAGTAATAACAAATATTATAAGGCATTTCTGAAGAATTATTGGCCAGTGGATGTGGATTCTTACAGATAAACAGCCCCATGTACTTTACCTGCAGTATTCACACCTGGCTTAATTTTAGGCTAGACTAAAGGCTTCACGGTTCAGGTTCAATGATGAATCAGACTTAGGGCAAGAGTTTGGATTCAGATTCAACGGCATCTGAATCTCACAAACTTCTCTCATGAGAATTCCATGAATCTCCAATTTCTACCATCTTGAATGATGGGACTATCATGACACTAGCTATTCCAGTGAAATTTTGGCTGAAACAAGATAGGACTGGAAAACAGATCCCTTCCAGGATTTGACCTCAAGCCAGAATGGTAAAGATGGCTTCAATCCAGGATTTCTTCAAAATTCTAACAGATGTGAGATTGCGGTGCTAGCCCCCCTTTAATATAAATATATTGTTGTATAGTCCTGATAAAAATGTGTAATGTAAAAAACCACAGTAAAATATCCATAAAAAATGTTTGCATTTCATTGCTCCTTGTTCCTGACCTGTTCTTGTTTCTTATACACCACTTGTTTTGTTTCTCTTGATCACAGAGACCTTCAGGAGCTCGATGACAGCACCCAACTACCTTTACTCTGTCATTTCTCAGAAACAGCTGAAGGCCTCACCACCATCAGAGCATTTAGGTTTGTAAACATGTGCTTACTCTTCAGCGCCTAATCTTCAGAGCAGTGCACAAGTCTTGCAAATAAATCAAGATGTTTGGTTTTTAAATGAGCAGCCCATCTTGGTTTATTTGGCATCTTATAAAACCACCAGGCCTACACAAACACAAATACCCTTGCCCCGCCCCCTTCCCCAAGGCCCCATCCCTGCCAGCCCCTTCTCTGAGGCCCTACCCCACTCACTCCATACCCCCTCCCTCTGTAGCTCACTCTCCCCCACCCTCACTCACTTTCACTGGGGTGGGGCAAGGGGTTGGGGTGCGGGAGGGGGTGCAGGCTCTGGGCTAGGGCCGAGGGTTCGCAGTGTGGGAGGGGGCTCTGGGCTGAGCTTGGAGCAGGCGGTTGAGGTGTAGGAGGGGGTGAGGGGTGTGTGTTCCGGCTGGGTGGCGCTTACCTCGGACAGCTCCCAGTCACCAGTGCAACGGGGCTATGACAGGCTTCCTACCTGCCCTGGCCCCATGCCGGTCCCATCTGGCACATCCCTGTGGCCCTTTGAGTGACAGGGGGCTCCATGCGCTGCCCCTGACTGCAGGCACCGCCCCTGCAGCTCCCACTGTCCACAGTTCCCAGCCCCCAGGGGCCGCAGGGATGTGCCGTCTGCTTCTGGGAGCAGCGCGGAGCCAGGGCAGAAAGGGAGCCTGCCTTAGCCCTGCTGCGCCGCCGGACTTTTAGCACCTAAAATCTCCTGCTTTGGCGTCAGTAGCCTCCGAGAGATAGAGCCCGATTCCAGGAGACTCCCAGTGAAACCAGGAGGGTTGGCAACCCCACAGGCCTAACATGATAAGTGAGGTCACTAAGGAGCAAGCTGAACTCTACTGTTAATTCAGTGTTGATCTTGGGCAAGTCATTTGTCTTTGCTGTGCCATAATTAAATCATCTTGCAAAAAGAGGACTCAGCATTTGTATTATTTTATTTGTTTATTTTGATTCACACAACTAATGAAATGGCACCTATCCATGGCTCTGGGTGCCCTGGACAGATTTTTTAAAACACCATCTAATTTGCAGTATCAATCCTTGTGGGACTTCTGTGGAATTAGGGATGACAGCTTTGTCAGTGTGTAGCACTTAAACTTTTTAGAGGTTTTGTTCAAACAGAAAATCATGTCTAGCCAAGATTTCTTTGTTTTCTGTGGAATGCTCACCATTTGGGGCCTGATCCTGCATTATATGTACACCCAGAACTGCCATTGCAGGATCTTGCCCTTTTGTATCTATCCATTTAGATACTTACAGGCTTCTTTACACAGGGACACTCAGGAAAATTAATCTGAATTAACAAAAGATGTGAATTTAAAGAGGATTAGTTAAACTTAATTAATACCTTGTGTGGACACTCTTACTCAGAATTAAAGTGGCCTTCATTCAATTTAGCTTAATTCATTTTGAAATTGAATTAAACTAAAAATGTTGAAAATTAATTTTCCTGAGTGTCCCTGTGTAGACAAGCCCTTAGGTATTTGTGTGATTCCCATTATCTGAGCACCTCATGCTCTTTAATGAATTAAACACCCCTGCAAGGTAGGGAAGCATTATTATACCCATTTTACAGATGGGGAATGGAGACAGAGAGAAACAAGATGTCTTGTAAGGAAGTATGTAGTAGTGCAGGGGACTGAAGCCAGGTCTTCTAAGTTCCAGACTAGTGCCCTATCCACTGGACCATCCCTCCTCTCTGATAATTTTATGGGTTTGTAGACCTTCTTGGCAGGAAGTCTTACATTTATGATAGCTATGTCTTCGCACACTGTCTCTGCAATTGGATTTACTTCCAAAGTGCTCCAGAAATGAGTCATATCGTAAGAGAACAAACAGCAGATGTTAAATCATAAAAGAAAAGATGGGTCACTAAGGGATCAAGAATGTGTGTGAAAGCAGAAAAGGTCACTGCTGGACTGGATAATGAAACGATTATTAAATTACTATATGAGATTAAACCACAAAATCATAAAAGATACAGCCACTTTGAGGAGCTGAATGATGTTAGCAGTCATTCCCATGCACAAGACATGGACAGAAACTGCCACTGGTCTTATCAATGGAAAATAGAAAAATGTCGTCATTTTGTTTGAAACGTGACCTCTTTTCTTTTTAAGGTAGTTAAATGTAATATATTCACAAGAGGCACAGAAAATGAGTGATTATGTAACCTCATTCCAAGAGGACTCTTCAGACTTTCCAAGGCATATATATGTTTTCCAATTTCCATTAAACGTGCTTGGCTAAAGTCTACTCTCAAATGCCCTAGTGTAAATCCAGAGTGACCCCATCAAAATCCCAACTTGATTAACACCGAATACCAAAATTAGTGTAAGTTGTACTCATTTTACACAGCCATGGAATTCCAAATCAGTGCCAATTGCACTATGTTGCTACTTAAACATGCTTTTTGACCAAATCAGACCCAATATGGAACCTAGACCAGTGGTTCTCAACAAAGGGTTCACATACCCCTGGCAGTATGCAGAGTCTTTCACAGGGTACATCAACTTATCTAGATATTTGCCTAGTCTTACAACAGGCTACATAAAAAGCAGCAGTGAAGTTAGTATAAACTAAAATTTCATATAGATAACGACTTGTTTATACTGCTTTAAATACTATACACTGAAATGTAAGTACAATATTTATATTCCAATTGATTTATTTTATAATTATATGGTAAAAAGAGAACGTCACCATTTTTCAGTAATAGGGTGCCGTGACACTTTTGTATTTTTAAGTCCGATTTTGTAAACAAGTAATTTTTAAGTGCGGTGAAACTTGGGGGTACGCCAGACAAATCAGACTCCTGAAGGGGGTACAGCAGTCTGCAAAGGTTGAGAGCCACTGACCTAGACCACCTTTTCCATCACTGCTGAATTTGGCCCAGATACTTTCATTGTAGTTGAGATTCTTTAGGCAGAATTTGGCCTAGTATATCTGTTTCCACCAGGTAAGGTGATAAGCTAAGGAGAGCTCCATCCAAAATGCTGACTTGGATAGGTCGGATTCAGAATATCATAATCTCCAACCTATGTGAACATAAGAATGGCCATACTGGATCAGACCTATGGTCCATCTAGCCCAGTATCCTGTCTTCTGAAACATCTGGCACCAATTATTGTGAGAAAGAGTGAACAGAACTGGGCAATTTATTGAGTGATCCACCCTTTGTCATCCGGTTGCAACTTCCAGCAGTCAGAGATGTAGGGATACACGGAACATGGGATTGTGTCCCTGGCCATCTTGGCTAAGGCTATGTCTATGCTGCACTTTCGTTGGTAAAACTTTTGTCGCTTGGGGTATGAAAAAACACACCCCGGACCGACAAAAGTTTTACCAAACGATGGTGTGGACAAGTGATGGTGTGGACAAGCAACAATGTGGACTGCGCACTCCCGCTGACAAAGCTACCGCCCCTTGTTGGGGGGGGTTTTATTTTGTTGGCAGGAGCTTGTCGGCAAGAGTTGTTTGAACGATACTCCTTTTTTTACCCAGTTATT